TAATCCTAGCTCAAAAAGATTTAGAGTGAAAAGAGGTTACAGGCTAGGCTAACATGTAACATCAGTCTACAAAGTCTCTAACTGCAGCCATGTTGGACCTCCCGGCTAAGGTCTTTTTGAAAAATGAGATCAGTGATATGACTCAATTTGCCTATCGATATCACTTCCATAAATCACAGTACGTGCCTATGTCCATTTCTCTATAAGACTATGATAAGCATATTCAGAATAAAACCATCCCTGTGTGCAAAAAAATTAACCTTTGCACTACACTTACCTTTATGATCTTTACCTGCTTCTATTGTCGAGGGTAAGTCCACAACAAGTCACTCTGCCTCTTTTATCTCCTTAATTTAAACCTGCTATCATTAAACTCTTTTATTTGCCCTCCCAGTTTCAATTATTATCAGAGTGATTTGGCAGATAAGGATGCAGTCAGATTATTAAAAATGTATTAAGCAAATACATAGAACTTTTCAGATTAACTTCATCCTCTAAATACACTGTCCAAATGTAGATAAAGTGCTAACTGTCTTCCATATCATACTCAGTTGCCGAATACAGATACTATTTCGGAAACTTTTAAATACGTTGGAACAGTTCACAGAACCAAAAAAGTCTACACGCTATCGTCTATTAGATCATATATCTTCTGCTTTATCTTCTTTAGTACTTTCTGTAAATCTATTGCAGCAACTCCTGAAAGAGTTCTTATGTAAGTTAATGGATGCCATTTAAAACATTTCAGCTTGTATGACTATTGAATGCAAACTCATTCATCAATAATGCATTGCAATAATGTGATCTTTTTAAATGCTCCTATACCGAAAGTATTTGATTATTCTGAAGGAAATGAATATGTAAGGGTCGCCAACAGTTTCTCAGGTTGTCACTTTATCGCACCACATATCTAATAAAAAGTTTAGTTAAGCTAGATTAAAATGAAGGTGGTGGAGTCTTCATTCAAATTAGCCCAAAAATCAGAAGTGGGCCATGTTATTAAATGTAGTATAAACTGTGCAAGTGGATGAAGGTTAAGTAATTTCTTTCTGTAGGAGACATTCAGTGACGGTAAGCCATATGAAAGATCACTTACTGGATCCTTTTGGAGTTGAAAAAAACTTTCTTCTCTTTTAATTTCACTCAGTTCATTCTCCCTTCCTCTTTCTTTGCTGAGTCAATTTTCATATTATATTACTCCAACGAAACGACGTAATTTCACTCACCACAACACAATAATTTCATATGCAATCGATAACTAATACAGCATGTTTCCTAGATCATTTTCATCAAAACAACGAGAGCAAAATTTGCAGAATAAATTGAGCTGATATTTATTTTACAACTTCTCCGCTACAAACAACTTGGAATAAATGCAGAAACACCACGGGATAAAGTGAGAAGCATACTTTTGAGTTAGAACAAAGTAACCATATACATTAGGAAATATAGATAAAACAGGTAAAGCTAAGCTAACAAATGTTAGCGATGCGAATAATGGTGGTAGAGTTCGTTCATTGATGTGAAATTCGAAGGAAGGGTATGCGGGGAATACTGAAAATGATAAAATAACCACTGTCATAATAATGATGATGAGAGGATCATCGTGATAACAACAGGTTTTCCGCAATGAAACAAACAGATGTATGTTGAATTACTTAAGATACATAGAACAGGTAGTGAAGATGGAAAAGGGAAGAATAATAAAACATGAAGTGAGGAAATAAGGTAGTAGAGACAAACACATCAACCAAGGTTATACTTCATTGGTCACTATCTCCTTCTGAACACACAAATGAGGTTTAAAGTATTTGAGAGCTATCGATTCTTCAAAACGAAGTAGAATAAAGGGTCTTTGCCGATCTATTATCTTAATTACTGTTGATATATTCTCACTGCTTTCTGGGTCGACCAAGTGGCGTGTAATTGATATTTCGAGGGATTTCTAACTGTTCAATAATGGGTTTCTCTGGACATGATCAGAAAAAAAAAACACATACCTTTCTTTCTGTCCTTTCGACATACTTGCTTTGGCAAATAGATACGAGTTCGTAAATACAATTGATGACGCTGGATAAGTATTTGTCTATTTTAGACTGGTACATGGCGTGGTTAGCCTCATATAAAGGGACCAGTTTCGCTGCTGTATTCGTTCGAGCGACATACCTGTACTTCAGTTTGCAGAATCAACAACAATCAACATTTTTAAACCTTACTGGCGTTTTGAGAAAATGGCAATGGTTAATCTGGCATTATTTGAATAACTATGTGTTTTTCTCTACTACTGTATCTCCTTTTTCATGTTTTCTTATTCATTTCCTCTTCTCAGGTTTTATTACCTGTTCTATATTTTCTCTGTACTATAACACTTGGGTTTGTTTCTGTGTGGAAAACCTGTTATAATAATAATAGTAATCTTATTATCACCATTATTATTACCATCATCATTATGATAGTGCTTATTTTATTATTGTAAATATTTTCTACATCCACTGTTAAAATCTCGGGATTTTCCTTCCAACTGACCATAAACAGATCAAATTTATCTTATTATTCAAATAGTGAAGATTTGTTAGCTGAGTTGTGTATGAATTACACCATTGGCATTAATACAATTGGGGTGATCTAATTTCAACCAGTAGACAGGAAGCGGAATCTTTGTTTTCGCCCACTAGCGCCTGTCAGAAAAGTATATTAGCAATCTCGAAAGAATTTGTATCTTTCTTTGAATCAAATATGCCTCATATAGTTCCAAAATTAGAAGAATTTTGCACCAAGCTGTTGGGTCATAAATGATACATTTAAAGACTGAAGTACATCAGCAAAACAGTTGCACTTTCAAATAAATTTCTCTCACAGTGTCCCAGTTGTACTCTTATGTTAATTCAGTGGTCATTCGTCAGTGACTGATTTGTTGCCAGCTTTAAAGCGCTTACTGAAGTATGTGAATTAAGTTTGCAATGTAACCATTAAGCTTTCTGATACGATATTTTAGTCAACTTTAGTAAGTGCTGAGTACCTAAAACCAGTCATTGTGAGTACCCAGACTAAAAGGTCATATTTGTAGGTTCTCATCAGGTAATCAGTGTCATACTGCGTAGCCGAATGATCATATTGTAAATCTAGACAAACACTGAAAGATTCATTATTGACTATCAACTAATTAAATGAAGATCAAACCTCTTTATAGCTTAATCAAACTTCATACAAAACTGATCTCATTAGTTTTTTGACCAGTTATTATAAAGTCTTGTGAAAACAAAAAATTGCTTTTTTGCTGCGCTTATGACAGAAATCATTTTAACTATGACATGATAAATTAGTTACTCCAATAAATCTTATCATAAGTATGTGTATGTTATGTGGAAGACAGAGCAAGAGGGAAGTTTAAATACAGTTGTAATGATTTATACATGAAGTGTCAAAACCTTTTCTTTTCTCCTTTATGTTAATAGACTTGTTCAATAAAATCCCTGGAGAAATATCTCTAACATACATCACCAGTAACATTATCATCATAAATTTAATGAAATCATTGAAAGACTAAAAGATTTATATAAATTATATTTTGAATCGGGGTAACAAGAGCAGATAAAGTTAATACTAAGTGGAAACCGTCTTCAAACTAATTGTTGTTTTCCTTACTACTTCTACTACTACTATTACTACTACTACTGATTTTATTCAGTTCCAGTTCAGTGATAATTTAATGCTCACTAAAAAACTAAAATAATAATAAGGGTATAAATTGTGATAATTTGTTCGGTTGTGGTTAGCAGAACAGTCCCAAATAAGACGAAATACATATCCTGGATTCTTTTGTTAGCCACAACCAAGCAAATTATCATAATTAACATTCAGGCAATATTGGGGCATCCACATAGGAGCCCATATGTCAGTAGAGGTCGAACAATTCCATCCAATAAAATGACGGAGAATAACAAGTATATCAATAAATGGTATTAAAGGTATAAATTGTTTATATTACCGTCTCATATAGCTCTATGCCCATGGAAAGCGAGTCTGTATAAAATTTTCTGACTAATAGCTATTTATGCTCGACTAATACAAATCTGAAATAAAAGAGTCTTACACGCATTCGGTTAGTAAAAAGCATTCTTTTTCGACATGAAAGATTAGCGCTCATTTACGGGCGAGGCCTGTGCACGATTGCGATCACAACAACATGTTTTGGTGAACTACATTCCAAGTGAAGTTCTCACACAAAATCTTTATCATAGCTGTAACCTTCATTTCATAATTGTTGCCATTCTTCCTCGAGAAGCCTTGCTGAAAAAACTTGGAAGATCTCCGTTAGGCTTACTAACATCATTTAGTGTTACCATCAAGTCTGTAGTGACGTTATACTGAAGAGACTTATGATTACCATCTAAATTTATCAACTAAATGGAAAGTGTAACTATTTCTTTCCCACTGAATAACTGGATTTTAACTATTTGCATCTAACAGCACGTGTAGGCTCCTTAAAAAGAATGGAACTATGACGGTTATTTTTCATAAAGAGAAAAGTAAAGACTGAACACAAATGAAAATTTAGGAGTTGGTCGGATGAAAATCTAAAAACTAGACGTCTTTCTTGCCAATCAGTGTAAAATCAGACAACTAAACAGTATCAGAAACCAATGATGGATGGTATCTCTGTGCTTTCTTGAGACTTATTACCGATATCCATGCCTGTTGGAAAACTTCAACTATTTCAGTCGTCTACAAAACGTTCTGAATTTAAATAATCATTTGAACGATTGGGTTGTATAACTGGAAGACTTATATAGCTTAACAGAAATCGCAATTCATATGTTGATAAAATGTTCGTTCAAAGACTACTTCTGCTGTTATTTCCAAGAATACCAGCTTGTGAACTGATAGATTTTTTATCCTGATTATTTTCGGTGGAATGCTTTTTACTAGACATAGTTCTCAAAACTGTTGAAACCAATAAAACCAATTTTGTCATTTCTGTATTTCCCTTTCATTTTTAGATTTCACATCTCGTGCAGTAGCCTGGCACATACACCCGGTACGTCCATTTTTACTGTTGAGTTTTATCATTACGACTTCTAGAAATGATCAATAAACAGTTATTTTTACCCCTGAAGACATTTATACATTAAGCTATTTCCTTTGTAAAATGTTCTACCTACTCAATAAAACAGTATTATTTCTCAATAATTTGTCGAGTAACTATCCAAAACCATCTACACTACTTCAACATATTTCTAGATCCTCACTATTTATCCTTTTTAAAGGGATACTCACTAAATTTACTTTATTCACTTATCACTTCATGTACAATTTCATTTGTTAGAATAGACTTTTATAAAGTGACCGTGTGAAAACCTCATTCATTCTTATACTGTTGAAAGGTCAGTTTGAGTTCACAATAACACGACCATTTCTAACATCAGTTTGAAATTTGTTGCCATAGAGTCACATAATTCGGTGTTATAGTTATTAATGGTTATCACTGAGTTTTACTTCATGATTTTTTCCATACTTTGTTTCAATTCATAGAAAATCACTTGATTTATTCTGATAATAACTTCAGTCCACTGCTAACTCCAATAGAAATGTGACAACGCGTATTACTATGTTAATTATCAGATATGGATTTCAAATTTCTTTCTTTGCTATTCATTTCTTGCTATTCAGGAGATGTGAACTGTCCGTCATGTAGCATCAACAAGGAAAGAATCAAACTGAAAAAATTCTGTCGTAAAGATGCAGGTATGTAAAGGAAATTTATTTATTCTGTAAATACAATCCAAATATTGTAAGAAACATGGAGGATGTTTTATTTTCGGGTAATATTTGATACTTGTAATTTCCCGTTTCTATTATGTTAAGTTGGATTATTCAACCCCCGTGACAGATGGACTCCTATGCGGATGTTTTGTGACTACTTGAATATCATTGGTGTGGCTCATATGGTGACTGGCAGTGAGGCTTGAAGTGATGCATACTGACTTCGAGTCATAGTAGGGACAGCGCTCCTCACTGGAGTGCAGGTATCTCCAGTTGACAATTCCAAAATAGGAAAAGATGCACATCTTGGATTTCACAGTTAGCCACCGAGCCAACTACAATACCTTCAATTAAATCATAGTAACCAGAAAATTACAGATGCGAGGTGATGTGGTGCATCCCACCTCATGTACAGTTTTAATTTAATGTTATCAAACTATTGATCACTCAGTCTTCATTACTGTAGGTACTTAAGAGGATGAAAAACTATTTTAAAATAGTTCAGGATATTTAGGCATAACCAAATTAAATACGAGTCTCATCGGGAGTTTTTGAAAATATAGTGAAGAATTCTAATTACCTTGTTTCCAGTTGACAAAATGTAACTCAAATCTGACTTCATCTTTAATTAGATTCATACTATATCATAAGCTGTGTAACGAACATGATTCACATCCTAGTACAGCATACTTATCTTAATGAAAATATATGGAGTTTTCATTGTTTGATTTTCCTATGACTATGATGTAAGAGATCAGCTGTGGAAACTTGAGCATAATCCATTTATTTATCAGTTCAGTATCAGGAGGAAGATATGTTCTGAAAATATTTTACCAAGGTATCAGTTGTTAGATATATTTACACACTTTTAATTATTCATGAGGAACATTTAAATTCAGTCTCAAAAACTTATCAAGCATATGTAAATATCCGCAGAATAGGAATCACTGTTTCCCTGGAATATTATGCTTGACAAGTGCGTAAGAACAGCATGACTGTCAGAAAAACAGACAAATTCAATGTAGAATCTGACATAGAAATACATTGGTTCACGTTGCCACACTTTATGGCATCATAAAAAAGCGAGTGGATGGAAAAAGTGTCCTGAAAGTAGAAAGTCTGAGAAAGAAGAAAAGGCGAGTACTGAAGCATGGTGAAAATGTTGAAACTTTTAAAGACGTTGAAGAGTAAATATATACACATCGTCGTGGAAAGTCTCAAACCTTGCTACCAAGAGTCTCCGACCATTGATAAGCATTATCTCGAGAACCTCGACCAGGCAGTCTGCACCTCCTTACAAGGCTTAGACCAAACATCAGAAACGTTATGACTGTAACTTTGACTATATTTTCATTTCCTGTATAAATAACATTTCATGGTGTTTTTGGTTCAACTTTCCCATTCTTGATGTGCTCTGTTTGCTGAATTTTATAACACTAAATGAAAGCCCACTGCTTGCAGAGACGCACACACACATTTGTATTCCTACCTACTATTCAATTTATCTTTCTAATTGCTTGTTTGTTGACTTTATCTCAGTGAAAAGACTAGGAGTGAAAGGAAAGCGAAAGAAAGGATAGAAATTATAAATGGCCAAAATTGTGTTCATGGAAATAGAAAGAAACCAGTTGTTAGGAGTTTGTCGTCGGATGCAGTGAAAATTTACGTTTTTGTAACGTGTGTAGTGAGCTGCATAGACAATTACAGATATTAGTGTCTTAGGTGAAATGTATGCTTTTAGGAAACTAGTTTTATTTATGCACATATCCTCTGTCAAAATAAAATTATTGCATTTGTATGGGTAAAATTTTCTATGAATCATGTTTTCTTAGGACACTATTTAATTACCTGACAGTGAACAGACAACATTGCACAATAACTGTACATTCTACACGAGATAGCAATTATTACCGTAAAGGAAAACAAAATAGTTTTTGCTTTTTACAAAAATAAGCGTTCGGAAAAGTAGTGTTTTCTCTCTTTTTTCACCACGCCACGATTCATCTGTTTGTTTTTTGGTGCCAGAATATCAAAAGTAAAATTTATTGACTCCTCCAGAATCTCTTGTTCAAATATTTTTATTCAGATCTCTGAGATTCCAGGAGAAGAGATGTTAGTCGGTGGTTACATGTATACTTGTGCTTTCCAGTTTGTTTGAAACTGTAAAAGAGTTTCAGTTTTTTCCGTGTACATAGTCCCGGTTTATCAGAGTATCTTAGTATTGTATTTTTTTTAAGTAAACGAATATATACTCGATATGTACGGATAGGTATGTATGGGGATCAAAAAATATCTTGATGAATGTTTACTAGATAGTTTCTTTTGTGCGATTGTTTATTCCATAAAAAATATTCAAACAACTTTTAAAGACAGATAATAAATAAGTGAGCTGTTTACATCCTAAATGGTCAGCAGGAAACTGGTAATACAGCAGTAAATCACAAAGTAGCAGTAAGTGATATACCTTTGTCCTTGGTAGTTTTTGTGTTTGCGATAATTTCATCAGGTTAAATAACCCATTATTGTAACTAATTGTATTCCAGAGAGAACCCTTCAATCAAAGCACATCGGTGTCTACGTTAGTCAATTAACCAAACAATTAATGTCTATCAGACTGACGGAAATCCTAAATACTAGCAGTATTAACTTCATGGATGTTTCAGAATAAATGTTAAGTCTCAGTTAACGTTGTTTTCATTCAAACACCTATTTATTGTATATGATTCAAACACTGATGTAAGAAAATGTTAAGAGAGTTTGAACCATGTGGTTATGGTAACCGGTCATTGGTGAGTCAAAACCATGATCTGCCTTCTACCAAAAGATAGTGAGAAATTATACCATATCAGAACAGAATTCTATTCACCCCCTAATCTGTTCAGTAAACAGGAAGTTTTGCGTGAAAATCATAAAATAATCACACTAGACACTACTATGTTTTAGTTCCACAAAGACCCTAGTAAGGTTATGGCTATCAGGTCATCCCAACCACTTGTGATACCATGTCTTCCGTAAAGTAGACAGCTATTTTATCATAAATCAGTTAACCATTAAAAAAACCAAAGATATTTCCTTGGGTTGATGATCTATAAAAAATATAGCTAATTCTATCACTCAGCACCCGCTTTTTTATTATCCTTATGCCACTGATAAATAGATAACAAATTTTTTTTACAAAATGTAATAAGGTATTTTTTTATCATAAACATCGATTTAAACTTGATCTATAGAAAAAAATTCAGAAAATGTTTCAGGACACCAGCGAATAAATTTATTCAAGAACTCAACTTACCAAAGAACAAATACAACTCTTATTCTTTTCCACTTTAATTTCCATTCACTTAAGTTGATAAGTTTGTACTTACCGTGTAGAAATACACACTAGTATAGTGTATACTATGTAGCCCCTTACACAGTATATCTCTTAGTTTGACATAAAAGCCTATCATGTGCAGACAGGCATAATGTAGGTATCCAACTCCTCGGAATTTCTTTTCTTATGATAGACCATCGTTTAAGTCAGTGGGATTAGCTATTCTTTTACTATAATCCACCAGTCTAGACGGTCACTACGAGATCTGATTGTCGTGGACAGGACCTCATCTGGCATTCTGCAGATTAACACTATTACCAATATCCAGAAAGGCATTTATTTTAGTATATTAAAATAAAATATTTTGGCTCGCTGCAGATATCTTTCAAATCCTAAGAAAGAAAAATGCTTAACACGTCATTTCACTTTTAACGTCACTTCACAAATATCTTTTTATGCGGAGATGCAGTCAGTGATCAGCAGTTGGGACTCTTCACTACATTCAGTTTTAAGATGAGAATATGTACTTGGGTGATATAATCCAGTATGTTTTCACATCAGCGAAGCTGCGGTTTGTCAATCTGGACAGTTTACCGCCAACTAGGAGTCATGGCCTCAAGTTCATCATAAAGATAAATGGTAAAGTCGTTTTCCCAACAGGAGATTAACAATCCTCTTTCAATTGAAGTTTCATAAATCTCAAACCCTTGTTATTTTTCATCAGAAAGCCTTAAACAAGCGCTTGATTGGTCGGTTATCCTCAAATCAGTATCTGCAACTATGAGGAAATTCATGCCTCTTTAAAGGGTCAAAAGTGCATCACTTCAAACTACATTCAAAACTTTACCACTTCCATGTTCAGGATACGCTAACACCCCACTGTTATGCTGAATTATGTACATAGATTGATTTCCAGTTGTAAGAGATATAGCTGTCAGTCATTTGTTTAGTGTTCCAGAGTTTTTGTTAAACAAATATTACGGCTTGCTGAGATAATAATTTCTCGTTTACCACTTTTGATCTAATGTTTGTAAGTAATCTCATATAAAATGTGAGTAAAATATCTTTTCCTAGCATTTCAAGAAATTTAGATAAATATTTCTTTGAAATCTGTATATCCTGGGGACTGAACGAATAACAAAACGTCAATGACTAAACTATAAACCCCTACTTTAGTATCGTCAACTGCATTAAATTAAGGGATAGTTGAAATAGATATTAACGAAACACATTTACAGTCACTCAGTCAGAAACTTTCTGCGTGAATTATTCTCCACCTTTTATGTAACTGAACTAAATGGGATACCTGTGATAAGTGTACTAACTATAAATAAGTGCTTGTATGTATACATGTAAGTGTAATTTCTACTGAGTGTGCGTTGATATTAGTTAGTTAAGGCAAGTTTAATCCTTACCAACCTCTGTTCTATTCCGTAATTTCTACTCAGCCAACCGATGTATTGGAAGAGATACTCCTTGAGGCGTTCTATGCAATTTTAAAAACTTCTCTGAAGAATTATCAAAGTCAGCCTCGTAGTCTATATATATTTGCGGCATCAAAATTTACGCACTTCATTTAAAAAAAGTCAGATTGCAAGATTATGAGGACTATCATGGTTCATATGGCCTAAGTCTTTCTGTTGTGTGCTCGATTTCATGTAAGATACAA